CCTGCTGAAGGGTGATTTTTCACTTTCCCTCTGTCTCTCTGGAGAACGCACGTTACCAATGGCAAACCTAAAAAGAAGACACAAGATTGTAACATATGGAATTTATTGTGATCTGAATTCATACAAATGAGAAAGAGGGAGAGAGGGACTCAGAGGATGAGACAAAGGGAGACACAGAGAGAGAGACAGAGAGAAAGAGAGACAAAGAGGAGGAGAACGAGAATGAATATGGAGGCCATGTGAACTGTAACTAGATAAGGAATGATGTTAAAACAAACTACTTTTAATTTTTATAGGTGTAATGATGAAACTTGAGTTGTTCTTTACAAGAGAATTCTTATCTTTTAGTGACACATTCTGAAATATTGGTATGAAATGATAGGAAGTCTGTAATTTGCTTTGTGGGAAAAGAGGGAAAGAATACAGATGAAGCAAGAATTGACCATTGTTGGGACCAGGAGGTGGATGCATGGTGTTTATTGTACAATTCTCTCCACTTTTATTTATATTGGAAATTCCCATTATGAAAATCTTAAAAACAAACAGACTCACTTGTTCACCTTCGTAATTAATTCCTTGCAGAGATTGGGAGTGAACCGATCCATGCAGTGACTCATGGATCTGAGCACAACCACCTGTTTCCAACCCACACCAAACCCAGTTATTTCCTAAGCTGATTTGTTTTGGAGAAGTTGTATTACCACGGCTGGTTCCTGTGAGTGCTGATATGTGTTGACTGCTTGCTCTTCAGGCTCTGGGATCTCCAGCTATTGGAAAAACCCCCAAGATGCCCCCAAAGCCTTTGAGGATTGCATGGAAAAAGTCAAAGGGCAAATTCCCACCCACCTGCACAGATCAACCCGCATCCACCTGGGAGCCACGGCTGGGATGCGCTTGCTGAGGTAAAGGCCAAATGGCACCCTTTCCTTACCTTGGATCAAAACAGCCAAGAATGTGTTGGACTTGCCAAGAATGTCACTCTATTTCTGGGAACAAACCCAAAAGAAAAAACCCATATTCTACCAAACATGTAAGCTTTAATGGTTGGAAAACATTTAGTCTTTAATACCCGAAAGAAACAGTTCTAAAATTTCTTCCTCTTGGTGGTTTGACTGAGAACTCTAGAGAAAAAGAGATGGCATAAACACTGTTCATAGAGGGACCCACAGTCAGAGTAATGGCTATATCACTGGACTCCCATGTAGTCAACTGTGGTTCGAGACCCAGACCCGGAGGCTTAAACTCACACCGGGCGCGTGTGCGTGCATGCCCAAGATTCTGAGAGGAGAATGGAGGAGAAGGGTTTGCAGTGTAGGCATCTCCCCTGGGGGTGATTTCTCGCTTTCTGTCTCTCTGTCTCTCTCTGTCTTTCTGGTGAGCACATGCTCCCTATAGCAAAAACCTCTCAAAAAAAAAAAAATACTGCTCATGGGATGGACCTCTAGTTCTTTGGGACATAGAAGTCACTTTTGACAGCTGACATCTGAGAGCAACCAGCCAAGTTACACAGTAAGTGTAGCTTCTGCCCATATACAAGATGTCACTGAAATCTGCTTTAAGACAATGGAATGCCTGCACCTCCCATCGGTTAAAGTCTCTGGCATTATTACAAAACAATTCATTCAATGACTTCCTTCTAAAGTCACAGCCCTGATTGGTAGTCTAATCGCATTGTTTTTGCATGTCCTTTCTCTTTTTATTTATTTTTTCTCCAGTAGAGTATTTCCTTAACCTTGAAACAAAAGAAAAATAGCAAAATAAATAAATAAAGTCAAACTTCAATCTATTCAGGGTAGAAGCTATTCCAAGTGTTGGAAATAAGGCTTTATTCCCCAAACACAACACTTGCTATGGTTCCTAGACACTTTGTCTGTAACCCCAGTAATATAAAATTACAGATGTCAGAGCACGAAGAAAACGTAAGGGAACAGCGATGTTTTTTTTTTTTTTTGGAGAGATTTTCACTATAGGGCGCATGCACTCACCAGACAGACAGAGAGAGACATTAGAGACAGAAAGCGAGAAATCACCCCCCAGGGGGGATGGTCACGCCACAATCCCTTCTCCTCCATTCTCCTCTCAGGATCTTGGGCACACACGCACATGCGCCAGGTGTGAGTTTTAAGCCACCGGGTCCAGGACG